CACATAAAATATATATACACACATGTATATATATTTTAATTTTATTATTTAACATTTTTTTTTACCACTTGCTGTCCAGAGTAATCTCTTACATATGAACACACATGATGAAATCTGATTCTGATCTGAACTTTTTGGCTAGGAAACAGCTTCAGACCCCCAAACAATTATATATTTTCTGAAAGCAGAGGCCCTATAGAAAAAAAACATGCTATTTGCAATTTTTTATGTTGCACGGTATGTGCACAAATGTTTATCAAACAAGTATTTTTAGGACAAAATACAGTAAAATGACATTACATGCAGAGAAACAGAATATAATGCCCAATTTTTTGGTAAAATAAAAAGACGGGGTCATTTCGATTAAATAGATACCAAACATGTCAATCCTTAAAATTGGTTGCGTCCGAGAAACCACAAAAAAACTACAATAACCAAAATGTCCCATAGGCGATGCTTTAAACGCTTTAACAGCTCATCAGTTTAGTGCTAACAGTGGTTGATGGGCCTAGAATTATTGCTCTCACTCTGACGCTTGCGGCGATATGTAATTTGTTACTTTGATTTTTACTTTTTTTTTTTTTTTAACACGACTTTATTGCTATCACATAGGGGGCTAAAATAGGGGGCCCTTATGTAATAACAAATACAATGTGACAGGTCCTCTTTATGGAGACATCAGAGGTCACCCAGGGACCCCAAAGAAGCGGATGAAGCAGAGATCTGCTTCACCAGCTTCTTTTTCTGGCTCTAGGAGCCGGGTCCAATGATCGGAGGAGAGATTGTATTTAAACAGCAATCGTCTGCAGTTGGAACGGTACCAAGAACATGGCTTGGTTGAATAATTTTTCAACTTTTTTTTTATTCTACTTTTTTTCTATACTCCTTGCTACCTCGGAGGTACCGAACAGAATAGCTGAGCCGAATGCCACTCGGCGGCATTCAGCTAGTCACTTACTGCTGTTTGGCCCCTATCAGAATAGGGGTAAACGGCAGCGAGTAAGCTGCTGGAGCTTCAGCTTAGCCGATCCAGATGTTGGATCGGCTGAGTCAAGCTCCTCCTGCACTTCGCCTCAGCCGAACATGAAGAGCATGTTCAGCTGACCGAAGGCAGCTGATGTACGGCTGAAATCAGCCGTAAAAGGCTGAAGCGAGTAGCCGACCAGCGTTCGGTTCACTTTACCTGTAAATCCTCACTACCCTCTATCAGTGGGGTCATCCTGTCCTGGTCATCCTCACTACCCTCTACGTAATCAGTCTGATCATCCATGTCCTGGTCATCCTCACCACTCCTCAGTCATAGTTGGTTGTTGTTGAGTATATTGATGATAGACATACATGTGTGCTCTCCGTGTACACATCACAATTGGCATCGTGCTTATCCTGTCCGGTGCCTGACTCTCCAATGTAGACGATGCTGCACGGAGGCTGAGCATGAGCAGAAAATGAATTGCCGTTTATTGATAGAGCCAATCTACGGGACGAGTCCGCGCACTGAGACAATTCAATTGTAATGTGTTTTCAGCTTCTTCTGTGGCAATGCAATTCTCCGGGAGCCCCTGTGTCCTGCTATGTGTGTGTGTACAGCGCCACCCCGCGGCCGCCCGCAGACCTCCACCTTGATCGCTGTGGCAGCCAGGCTCCAGTGATTGGCTTGAGGCGAGCACACAGAACACGTCCACATTGCGCTCCCCGAGCTGAGTCTTCCTATTCCATGCAAACACTCACAACATCCAGCTTAGGGATAAGCGAGCAGTCAAACTAGCGCACAGCCACAACCTCCAGCTGAAGCCGTCCAAGTAGACGGGGCTCCAGTGCTTGGAGACATGCAGACACATTAGCAATGCCTGTAGGGCGGACAGAAGGATAAAGAAACTTTTCACTCATCACAAACAGCTTGAATTCCTAAAAACATGTCTGCCCTGAGAAGGAAATTTGGGGAAGAGTACCATGTTGTGACAACCACTGTGGGAGGTGGATTTTTCCCTTCTGTTAAAAGAAAACGGCAGAGGTTTGTAGACAAGAATGGACGGTGCAATGTTCAGCATGGAAACCTGGGAGGAGAGTCCAGCAGATACCTGTCCGACCTCTTCACCACCTTGGTGGACCTCAAATGGAGATGGAACCTGCTGATCTTTATTCTGACCTATACCATAGCGTGGCTGGTCATGGCATCAATGTGGTGGATTATTGCTTATATCCGAGGGGACTTAAATAGGGCTCATGATGATGGTTACACTCCTTGTGTGGCCAACGTCTACAACTTCCCTTCTGCCTTCCTCTTCTTCATAGAGACAGAAGCTACTATTGGGTATGGTTTCAGGTACATCACTGAGAAATGCCCTGAAGGCATCATTCTCTTCTTGTTCCAGTCTCTGCTGGGATCTATTGTGGATGCATTCCTCATAGGATGCATGTTTATAAAGATGTCACAGCCCAAGAAGAGAGCAGAGACTTTGATGTTCAGCCAGAATGCTGTCATCTCCCAGCGTGATGGAAAATTGTGCCTGATGTTCAGGGTGGGCAACTTAAGGAACAGTCATATGGTCTCTGCACAGATAAGGTGCAAGCTTATCAAGGTAAGCATGCCCCATACATACAACAAACTCTCTCCATATAATAGATGTGACATTAATGGTCATCTTTGGTCTTTGAGGTGCAAGAATAATGTATGGAGGGTATCTACTTAAAGTGACACTAAACTCAAGAGTTAAATCGTAAAAATGCATTCAAGTACCTTGACTATTATCAAAAATGTACCTTATTTGTGTATCACTCGGCTGTAGATCATCAAATCATCTCTGAATTTCTGCTGAATCGTCCTTCCTTCTGGAGGGAGGCTACTTTTGTTCCCTATGGTCCCTGTGTGTGTTGTAAAGTAGCCACCGCTCAAAGCTTACTCCTGTGATAAGACTACAATTCCGATACAAATTAATATGAGATTGTAGTCCATCATGGGAGTGAGCTTGGAGTGGTGGCTACTTTACAACACACAGGGACCATGGGGAACAAAAGTAGCCAGTCAGCACCAATTCAGAGATGATTTGAGGATCTACAACTGAGTGATACACAAATAAGATACACTTTTGATAATTGTTGAATGCATTTTTAAGATTTAAGTCCTCAGTTTAGATTTAACGCCTGAGTTTAGTGTCACTTTAATGAATCTATTTAAGAAAACGTTGTACAGTAGATACATGGAACAAGCTTCAAACAGGTGGCCGATGGGTATGCGTTAACACTGCTAGGGTAAACTAAGATCCTAAGTGTTTGCTTACACCTAAAGCTGCCCACACACCTTACAATTTATCTGCAGATTTTCTGTGGTCAGATGGAAAAAGTGCAACAGATTGGCCCAGGATGGAGATTACTCCGTCCACACAGTTAAGTGTAGATGGAGGAATCCATCTGACCACAGAAAATCTGCAGATAAATTGTAAGGTGTGTGGGCAGCTTAACATATAACTTAGTAGGCTCAGTTCATACACTGAGATCCACCAGGATAATCAGGATGTGTTAATAAGTGACAGTTGTTTTCAGCTGAATCCTGAAAATAAATGTCACATGTTGAAAATAAATCCCTTTATCCCTTAGTTAAAGCTTTGTAAATTGAGCCGAATAGCTGTTTCGTTGATGTCTGTAGAAGTGGTTTAGACCCATTGCGTTCCTTAAACTCTGCAATGAAACTGACTTGAAGGCGAAATTGCAGCGTGCCAAAAACGCAGCATGCGTCACATCTTTTATCCAAACATTTCTGCAATACAACGTGCTGGTGTTACAATAATTGAAAACAATGGATTTTTTTTCATGTGTCTGCCCTGGAAAGTGCAAAAAGATGTCTGACAATGAGGTGTGAATAAGCCCTTATGATAAAATGACACCCCTAAGGTGGTAGGTACAAGGTAGTGATGTGACCAGTGAAAGCCATAGCACTAATCTTTTAAATTATGATATAGAACACAGATTGCACATTTTCAATGCAGGTGATGGATGCTGCCGTGAGGTTATCTGTAGCAGAATATTTCCACACCATATACATGGCAATTGTTGTCTGGACCTATAGTCATTACAGGTATTGGAAAAGGGGTTTAATGTGTGCTGGAAACCATTGATAAGGACAAGGGCCGGTCTTTTAATTGCATTTGGTTTCTGATTTACAGCATCTTGAAATCTAGTAGTAGTTCCACAAACAAATGATGTCAGGGTTCCTTTATGCTGTGGTAATGAGGGACATTTATAAACCGGCTCCAGCAGAAAACTAGGTAAAATTGTGCTAAAGTACAAAATCCTAAATTTGTAACTTACCATTCTAAGTATCATACCATTCTTGAAAAATTACATTCGAGAAAAATCTATGAAGAGCTCAAATTGACCACTTTTCATTGATTTATTTCTCCAAGCTTAGTTAAAGGAGAACTATGAGGTGAGTGTTTTTCACTCACCTCATAGTTCTAGCCGACCTGTGACAATAGACTGTCACAGGTCAGCTCAGTAGATCGGGAAGTGAGTGAACACATACCGGCGTTCGCTCACTTCTCGATCCTGTCACGGCTCTCTGCCGTGACAGGGGAGGGGCTGGATTCGCCCCTCCCCGCTTCGATCCTCCAGTGCTGACTGGCGGAACGGACGGGGGAGGGGGCGGGTACAGCTGGCTCTGCCTCTAGATAGGCAGAGCCAGCTGTCACTCACGCAGCTAGGCGGATCCAGACATAATTGTCGGGATCCGCTTCAGCTGCGGCGTCTCAGTATAGCGGTATACTGCGGAGTCTCAGTATACCGCGAGATGTAGCTAGCGGTATACTGAGCTTAGGGTGACGGGAGGACGCTAGTTTGTGTCCTCCCGTTACCCTATGGAGAACTATGATGAAAAGCCCTAACTCCATAGTTCTCCTTTAAGTTATGCTGTAAACCACACTTGATATTAAGTGTGTGATGTATTCAGTTGTCTTAATCTTGGGGTGGCAAAACATGTCTGTGATATTGTGCTACACCTAGATTGTCTTGTAAAAATGATATTGCTCTATTATATAACAAAAACTCTGCTGGGCAGGCCTGAAGAGATGAGGGTCTGTGAGGAAGGGGGTGCAGGAACTGATCCCTATCTGTCACCTAAATAGTCTACACCCAGTAAAGTTACATAGTTACGTAGCTGTTGAGGTTGAATAACAACACAGGTCCATGGAGATTCAAAGTGATGGACTTTCCATCTTGGACAGAGCAAGCATCTGAGGATGTGTTCCTGTACCAAGTACCAAAGGTCTTTATTCAAATAGAAGTAGAATGCAAAGGAGATATGGTCATGGGAAGTAGAATGCAAAGGAGATATGGTCATGGGAAGTAGAATGCAAAGGAGATATGGTCATGAGAAGTAGAATGCAAAGGAGATAATGTCAGGAAGGGACTATGTGGAGGTTAGAGATGTATGCAAAGATCTAGGTGCAGGAAAGTCAAGGAAGAGTAGGAAAGTTGAATAAGCACTGCTAAGATGGATGAGCATCACTCAGCAAGAACACAGATAAGCAGCAAAGGGATCTGAGTAGGTTAGGAGTCAGCACTGGGGATCGTCTTCCTCTAATGGACTGGGGGCATATGGCTGACATGAGTGCACTGCTGTTTAGGCTATTTT